AGAGAGTTGTTACAAATGGAATTCAGTCAAACTGAATTAATGTCACAAGTGGGGTACCTCGGGGCTCAGTCTTAGGACTCTTGCTCTTTTTGATTTACATCAATAACACAGATGAAGGAACACTCAACAAATTACTTAAATTTGCAGATCATATTAAGGTCTTGAGTGTTGCTAGCTGTGAAGAGGATGCTTCCGATTTACAAAAGGATTTAGATCATTTAATAAGTTGGGCAAATAAATAGTAAATGGGTTTTATTTATAATAAATGCAATATAATGCAAATGGGCTATCATAATTTGAATTATAAGTATAATTTGGATGGGAATAACCTTATCAGTGTTATGAAGGAAAGAGATCTTGGTGTAACAGTTGATCAGTCTCAAAAGCCATTCAAGCAATGTGCTGTTGCTAGTGGTAGGGAAAATAGGATTTTAAGTTGTATTTACAGAAATATTGAATATAAGTCTAAAGAGGTTATAATTTCATTGTACAGGTCATTGGTTAGGCCACATTTGGAATATTGTGTTCAGTCTTGGGCTCCTTACCTTAGGAAAGACATTGAGTTGTAGAAAAGAGTTCAGAGAAGGGATACTAGAATGGTGCCTGGAATGGAGGGGTTGTCATACAAGGAGAGGCTGAAATCTCTCAATTTGTTTTGTCTTGAATAAAGAAGAGTTACGGGGGAGATCTGATTGAGGTGTTTAAGATTGTAAAGGGAATTGATAGTGTTGGTGCATCATCTATTTTCATATTTAACACAAATATAAATTTTGGCAAGGTAGAAGTCATCTTCAGCTAAGACAGTTTCATTTTTCTAACAGGGTAGTTGGCCTTTGGAACAGGTTGCCTTCAGATGTTGTAGAGGCAGTAAATTGATAAGAATTTAATAAAAAGCGTGATAAATACATGAACGATAAGAGATGGCTTTAAGATTTTTTTAAAACATTATTTTAATTTAGTTTAGAGGATGGGACAGCCGAGATGGACCAATAGGTCCCATGTTGTCCCAAAATGTTATTTTTCTACGAATTTCATAAGCACTCAACTTACTAATTACATTTAATTACAGAGACAAATTTTATCACCTCTTTAGAAATGAGAAGTAACATTAACTAACTTCCAATCTTCTGGAACATGCCCACTACTCGAGGATTTAGAAAAAGATTGAGGCAAGTGACACATATCCAATTCTTAATCTCATTCAAAACCTTTGGGTAAATATCTGTCTGAGGAGACAATTCTTTAAACTTCTCAATTTTTTTGTTAACAAGCTCAGAATTAATATGATTGCCTTGTTTGATTTGTTTTCGTCTAGCAACTGTTCAGGATTCATCTTATCAAATACTTCTAGTTCCAAACAAAATAATAAACAACAACAAATGGGATGCCAGCAACCAGAAAATCTGATAGCTTTAAATATAAAAACTCCATTCAAGTTATTTAGAAGATTGTTAATTCAATGCCAAACCTTTAAATTTCCTTCCAAATCCATTTCAACACCTTGCTAACAACAAAATTTGGACTAATACTTTTGTAAATAATGGGCCTGAAATTTCCCAGAACATCCTTTTGCACTTTCACCAGCTCTATTTCATTAATTTAATAACTTAAATAAGAGAGAGAGATCATAACGTCGATCTATTAATCATCAGAAATATTCTCCAGCCAAAGACCTTAGAAAAATATTAAACTTAAAATTCCCACTCACTCTAATATTATGGAATTCAAAGGCAAAAAAACAATTTAGTCTATTTTGGAAAAATAAATTCCAATCTGATAAAATATTAATTTTCGATCACAACACTAATTGATAATTGAGTGTTTAACTGAATCAGCACTCTCTGTACAATATTAAAGGGTGTTTTTATAATTCAAAATGTGGGTATCCAGGGTGATTAAATAAAAAATGCATCAAGGATGCGAAGATGTTAACTGACCGATTTTACTTTTGGTTTAGTACAGCTTTTAGTTTTAGTTTTAAATAATTATAATGGCCAGAATATTATAAATGTTGGGCAACGCCGGAGGTAAATTAATATTATTTTGTCACTAATTCCAAAAACAACATAACTAACATTATAATAAATATAGTTAAACAGCTATTGTAGTTGAGAAGCAATCAAAACAGTCATTTCTAATCTATGATATTACCTTTCACAGCGAGATTTTCTGCACGAGAATAATTGGATCGACGGATTCCATCTTCTTGTTCCGTAACCACTGGCGGTATACTTGCACCAAAAGCCGGTTCCGTCTGCTGTAGCAGGCCGTACGTTATTACTTTCAGTAATACTATTAATAATGAGTAATTTTTATAAAGTCGAATTTTTTTAGATAAAATTAGAAAAAGAAACTCCGTCGCTGTCCTTAACATTCTTTATAAAAAATAACAATTGCTTAAAAACATTTCTGCTGTGATTAGAAAACTTAGTTACATCATTTACAGCTTCAACACAACACACCACATCAATATTAACATCTCTCATAATTTTCAACATTACACTTCGGTTTTTAACTTGGCCTTACCTACTACTTCATAATGTGAAGATACTGCGAAGCCAGAGACATCTACGAGTTGAAAATTGTAACTATTGTTTGAGAGTAAATTTGTGGTACCTGATGATGACAAAACCTTGTCGAAACGTTGTACATTTGCTGGTATGTTAAACTTATATTAAAGTTTTTCT